CTATCACTTCAGCATGAAACATCTGACAGTGACATCATGAAACACCTGACAGTGACATTATTTGTGCCCCTCTCCCCACAAAACTGTGTTCCAGGGTAGGAGCTGCTTGCTGGCCCAGTGACCCTGCTCCTGGCACTGGGCCCACCATAGTCTGTGCCTAACAAACGGTGAGGGGGTATTTTACAGCCATCGGAATATGGACTCTGATCCGATCCTGGATTCCAGTCCTGGTCCTGCCACTCACCAGTTACATGGTTTTGGGCGAGAAACCTCTCCATGCCTCAGTTTCCTCACCTGTAAAAACAGGACAGCGGCAGTCCCCACGTTAACGGTGTTGTGATCAAGAGTCATTACGTGTGTGAAGAGCTCGGAACTGCACGGGACGCCCAGTGGGGGCCTTGTGCTTGCTGTTACCAGTGAACAAGTGAGTGAAACTAGCTGCACCCTCACCGGCCCGGCTAGAGCTGAAATGTCCTGGGCGGGTCACTCGTTCCCTGAATGTCTGCTGGGCGTCTCCTGTGAGCCAGGCACTGTGCCGGGTGCAGGGGATGGCAAGTGGAGTATGTTAAACGTGGCTCTCAGATGGCTCCGGGGGTGGGGAAAACAGGTGATGGGCAGGCGAGTAGGGCTTCTGGGATTTTCTACAGGCCTGATGATGGGGACAGGAGGGCACAGGGGGCTAGGGGATCGTCCTGGCGGGGGGAAGGGGGGCAGGAGCAGCAGCAGAGTGGAGGTGACACCGAGCCTCGCCTCGCCTCGCAGAGATGTGCAGGCAGACAGTGTCCTGGAGAGAAAGCACAGGTCGGACTCAGACAGGTTCTTTCCTTTTAATTATCACAACAGAAAATGACCACAACGGCAACGGTGCCAACAGTCAGAGGGACACGGTTCCACGGCCACAGTTTCACATCCAGGGGAGTTAGATATTCTTAGTGAAAAGAGCACACGGAGGCCCTGCGTTAGAAACAGCCTTTTGCCGTAGTAAAAGTGAGTGGCCTCCTCTGAGCCAGGGCGCGAGCAGCAAAGGACTATGAGAATAGTTAAAATACCTTTTTATTCGGTAAACGGCTTACGTGTACAAGCTGATTATGAAAACGTCAGTAAAACACACAAACATTTCCGACTCTCTGGGAGGATCTGGTATCTGGAGGGTGGCTACTTACAAGAATAGGTTTTCTGCAAAACTAGGCAGTAGAAAGACTAGTGAGCCTTCGGCGGGGGGAGCAGGGCAGGGCTGGGGGAGGGGCGGAAACAAGGCGCGGGTTTCCCCGGAGGCTGTCAGGGGGCCCCGCGCCCACCGGGCTAAACTTCGCCCAGAGCCTCGGTTCTCGCTGCTGGGGCGCGCTGGTGGGAGGCCAGTCCCCTCAAGGTCCCAGAGACGCAGTTGCTGCATGGGGGCCCGGGGGGCGACTTCAGCCCCCCACTCACTTTGCAGGGGTTTCTCCATCCAGGCTGAGCTCCCCGTGAAAGTGGAGCGCAGTGGAAATGAAGAGTCACAGGGATTTCCGGGGACGGCAATTTCCAGATCACTGTCCCCTGCTGGAATTGTTTGAGGGGGGCGGGGGCCATGAAGGCTGCTTTGCTCTGCAGAGCTCGGATTCATTCAGTGGCTCATGAAAGGGAGAGGACCTTTGGGAAACACCATAGTTTTGGAGTGAGGGACAGCATGGCCCAAGCAGGTACCGACTTCGGCACCGGGGCCCTCGGGGCCGGAGAATTCTGTGCTGTGGGGCCGTTCCGCTGTGTCGCTCGCTTCTGTCTGCTAGATGCCAGTAGGCCCACCCCTCCTCCCCTGCGAGCTGTGAAAACCAAAATTGTCTCCAGACATTTCCAAAGGTCCGCTGGGGGACAAAGCTGTCCCCAGTTGAGAAGCACTGGCCCAGTGGTTCGGAAACCCCGGGCTCAAGACCCCTCTCTCCTACTGACCGGCCTGGCCTGCAAACCCTCCCAAACCTCTCGGAGACTCAGTTTCCCTAAGTATAAGAGGTTGGAAGCCCCTGCCTGCCGGTTTACCGAGCCCTGATCAGACCATCTGGGTTGCTGGGACAATGCTCTGAACAGTGAATACGGTGACTCCCCGGTAACAGTGTTGAGGAGAGATGGCTAATGGGACAGACGCTGGGCCCCTGGCTGCTGCTCAGGCACAGAGAGGTGCGGACAGAGGGTCCGGGCTCCCCCGGGGAGATGGAGCAGTCTGGGCAGGCGCAAGTGGGCACCATGCACAGCACATCCCAGAAACCGCCCGCCTGTCCCAGGGCTCTCTGCCTTCATTATGTACCTTGATAAAAACTTGTAACTTGTACAGTGACTCAGAACAAACAACACATTTGAAAATTTATGTATTTATGAATTTTATGTACTCTCTACCATTCCGTTACACTCCTGATAGCAAGCGTCTTCTCTCTGGGAATCTGGCCTCTCTCCAGTCACTAGGGTTTGCGCTGTTTTCTCCCTTGCCACCCGCCCCATCTCCGACCCTCACCTCCCCAAGAGAAAGGAAATGCGCGAGGTCTCCTCTCAGAGGTGCCTGGCAGGGACCATCCGGCCTCCGTTTAGTTCTGGTTTCCTGGGTTTCTCTCTTTTCTGCGTGGAAATTACAGACTCTGTCCCCCTGGGCTCTCAGTGCTCAGTTCACCATCCTCTCCTCCATCCCTCTCACGGAATGACCCAGGTCAGGGCCCGCGGAGTGGGTGGGGCTGGCGCAGGGCGCTGGGCGAACACTGAGGGTCCAGCTCCTACGGCTCTGTTTGGCCCCTGGCACTGCTCCTTGGGTGTCCAGTCTCAGCAGCCCAGCCCACTTGCTCTGGGGAGAGTCAAAGGACCTGGCAAGGGGGCCAGGTGACAGCTGTCAGAGAGCATGATGCCTGACCCAGGGCTGGGGCTGGTAACCGAGGGTCACACTGAGCTCCCCGTCAAATGCCCAGCACACTGGGAGGTGGTGCCTGGGCCGGGCGTCCGGAGCCTTGTCAGCTCTCCAGTCATTTACTGTGTGGTCCCCGCTGCCCTCCCCGAATTAAAGGTCCTGATTGGAAGGTCTCTAAGGCCTCTCAGCTATGGGACTGATGACCACGTGCGCACTGGTGGCGACCCTCTGCAGCACTTATGCTGGAGACCCCTCCTCCTGGATCGAAGGCCCAGCCTCAGGGCCCAGCCTGGGACAGACCCTTCCAGAAGGCTCAGCATGCAGGGTGTGGGTGCAGCGATGTCGCCACCCACCGGCCTGCACCGCCCACAGAGCTGGATCCCAATCACAGCTCCTTAGCTGCGGGTTTGTGGGCACAGACCCCGGCCTCAGGCTCTCAGCAGCAAGTGGGACAATACTAACTGCATCTCTCCGCAGGCTCGCTCCTGCCCTGGCGGTGATTTGAGGAGTGAGATGCAGACGGCACGCAGCACAGGGAAGATGCGGATAAACAACAGCAGGAAGAATAATTAATAATATCACCACGAACAGCGGGGCAAGGTCATGCTCCCGACCGAGAACCACTAGCCCGACAGGAATCAGGAGGCGGCGAGGACGGCGAGCCTCCGGTCTCCAGGGAGGGAGTCACCATATGCTGGTGGCCTGGGGGCACTCGAGCCTTCCATTTAGAAGGGGCTGCGAGATGGCCCCTCGCTGCTCCGGCCAAGTGCCACCAGCCTGCCCTCCCTGGGACCCCGCCGATGCCTGAAAGGAGATATGATCGGCTCTCTTGCGGCAGGGGGGGTGTTAGAGAGAATCAGGGGAGTCTCATTTGCCTCTTGACCTTGATCTCATGGAACAGGGGAAGGGCTGCAGTGACAGAGCAGGAGCCCGCAGGGTGGTCACCGTGCCTGACAGGAGGTGGCATCCCTTTAGGACACGCCAGGCTAAAGTGTCCTCCAGCCTCTCCACCAAAGCTCCAGGGACAGGACTCATGACCTCGTACAGCAGGTGTTGCTGTTTACATGAAATGTCCCTCATGGGAACAGACACCGGTGTGGGTGTGGGACACCTACAGCTTGCAAAAGGGACATGAGTTAAAATGGGCACAGAGAACATTCCAGAAAATGTAGGATGCCTTCTCTGAGGAGCAGCCATTACAGAGACCAGACCCTCCTTCCTGGCACTGGGTCCTCAAGTCAAGGTGGGCTCTGGGGCCACCTCACCCAGAAGCCAGAACCGGAGCCCCGGGCTGGGGTCCGAGAGAGGAGCACCTGTCCTCCCTGCTTGGGCGAGCAGTGGGCTTCAACAGGAGGCCTGAGCCCTGACTGGAGCCCAGCCTGCAACACGGACTGTCCCACAGCCCTTCCCAGCAAATCTGGCTGTAGGAGCCTTACTCCTTGGGGCCCCTCTGCAGGGCTCCCCTCCGCGTGCGTCCTGAGAAAGCTGGTCTCTGGGCCTTCTCTGGCCTTGATCTCATGGAAAAGGGAAGGGACAGCAGTGACAGAGCACAGAGACCGTGCTCAACTTTACAGAGGGGGCCAGGCTGCATTCACCACCACCCTGCAGCCTGGGCAGGGAGAGAGAGTCAGCAGGGGGGTGAGCGTGCCCCACTCCAAGGACAGTCTGAGACTTCTACCTTTGGAAGCCAGAGCCGGCTCAGGCCACACCACGACGCGGACCTTGGGAAATGACCTCTGTACACGCAGGGACTGGTTTCACTGTGCCCTGGATGTGCCACCCAGCCACCGGAGGCAGCAAGGTGTTGCAGAAAGAGCCTGGCTTTAGAGTTAGAGGTTCAAATCCCGGCTCATCACTTTCATGCTGTGTAGCCTCAGGCAAGCTACTCCACTGCTCTGAGCTTCTGGTTCCTCATCTGCGTATCAGAGCAAGGCTGCTGCAAGGTAACTGTAAGCATGGACTGTGTGCATGTGAGTCTAGCACNTTCATGCTGTGTAGCCTCAGGCAAGCTACTCCACTGCTCTGAGCTTCCGGTTCCTCATCTGCGTATCAGAGCAAGGCTGCTGCAAGGTAACTGTAAGCATGGACTGTGTGCGTGAGTCTAGCATGGAGCCTGAGCACGCGTCTCAAACAATGATGTCACATCTCTGCCCTTTACTGAGATTCAAGACAGAGCCCCGGCTCAGACGGGAGGGACAGCGTGTGATGCTCTGGTTAGAAACTGGCCGTCTATCCTCGCTGCTCTCTGAGTAACGGTGGGAAACAAGCAGACAATGAAACCGTAGGAGGCTGGGATGGAACGACCCCGAGCGAGTCTCTGTGGTCTGTGTAATGCAGTTTGGACAAGATGGTCCCTACAGCTCCTTGACATTGAAAAGAGATAAAGACATGGAAGTTAAATTTAACTGACATTTATGCCAGGGGGAAAAAAGGCCTTCATGGGGGAGACCGCTGGGCCTGGAAGTACCCGGTGAACACCGGCCCCGGGGCTGCCCAGAAGGCTGGAGTCCTCCATCTTTCTCTCCTCCCCACACAACAGAAAACATAGGACCCCCTCTCCAGGCCCTGTGGGGACCCGGGAGCTGCCACCTGCCTCTTACAGAGCTGCAGGCTGCCCTGGCATCAAAGAATCAGAGTGTTTGGGCTGGAGTGACCTCCACACGAACCTCACGCATCGCCGTGTCTCCCTAGCCTGGCTCTCACCCCCTCCTTGGGCTCTCTAAGAAAGACCATGCTCATGGGCAGGCTCGGGGGCTCGATGGGGAGGGGTTTCCCGGGACGATGGGCCCGACGGCTAACCAGCCACCCAACCTCCAGGCTGGTCCTGCAGAGAGCAGGGCCCCGTGGGTGGTTCCAGAAGGCGTCCGGGCGGAAGGTCCCGCATCCCTCCTCTCCTCGGCAGCATCCCGCCAGCTCTCGGCACCCCCGACCTCCACTCCAGCAGAAGCATTGTGGGTGGCCACGCGGCTGCAGTGACAGATGGGACCAATAAGAGCTGGCGGCCATCTGCGGGCTCTGTCTGCAGGTCGGGCTGATAATCCTATTACCACGGCTGCTCAGTGCCGACCTCCCAGGGTCGAGTGGCTGCCTCTGGACAATGAAGATGTCCCTTCACCTGTCACCAAGAACACTCATTTCTCCTGAGACCCTGGTGACCAATTCAGCATTTTTGCAATTGTGCCCAAACCTGCATAGGGCTTCTTAACTAGACTTTCTAGTTTCTCAACCACAGAGGGGAGTGTGTGCCATTTCTTTTGTTTTGTACAGCGCAGGGACAAAGCAAGGAGGCAGCCACTCCAGCTGGTGGGGGAGTGAGCCCCCACCCCACTCCACCTCCGTCGCACAGGGTGGCTGCCTCCGAAGGGGGCCCTTTCCCGAACTGCTCCCCCTGGCATGTCCCATCCCACTCTGGTCTTAGCTGGGGGCTCCCTGTGTGCCAGGCCCCCAGCCGCTGACTTCTGAGGATGTAGGAAACCGACTTGGGTGGAGGACCCCCATGCCTGCAACAGAGCACACGGAGCGTAAACCGAGTTTACAGAGTAGGTGTCTGAGCTCCCTGCCCACCTCGCACGCAGCTCAAGACCCTGTGGACACTGACCCCGAGGGCAGCTGAGAAGGCAGGAATCCGCTCAGGAGAGGCTTAGAGACAGCCCTGAGCCGCCAAGCGGCGTCCCTCCTGATCTGGCCCCTCCGTGAATGCGCCCGGTGACCACAGGCAACCAGACCCTCTCCTGCCCGCCCATCAAATGACTGGGTGGCCCGAGCCTCATGCACCTCTAAAATTCTGTGACTTCTCAGAGAACAAAGAACATCTTCACGTGGGGGGCCTGAGGCGTGAACTGACTGGCAGACCTCATTTTGAAACAGATGGGAAAGCCCACCCAGCAGATGAAAACCACCCTCCCGGAAACCCCACCATGTCACCAGCAACCCCCCCATCCTTGGGTTTCCTGATGCGTTTGGGTCTCATAAGGGGCCAGGTGTCTGGGGACAAAGGTGCCATTTGCAAGTGAAATGAGGAATGTTCTATAAGCCTTCAAGTGACCACCACCAATATTCCCGGGGGCTGAGATTGGGGTGGGACACTCCAGTTCTAAGGGGCTCTTCCCCGGACCTGCACACCAGGCAGCACCCCGCACACCTGGAGTGATGAGTCTGCATGAAGACAAGACACCTAAGTGAATATTTGCTGCCTGCAAGCGATCGCCCAGCTGCGCCTGCATCTGGAACCTAACCGGCTGTTCCCTCGGGGCTCTTGTCCTTGGAAAGCAGCTTTAAGGACGCCCCAAGCTGCTCCTCGAAGGCCCGGCCCCGTGACGCCTGAGGGGGCTGGGAGCTCATGCTTCGTGGTTTCTGGATCAGCTTGATGGCAGCGTGGGATGTTTGAAATCAGGGCGCTGCCCGGGGACGTTCCAGACACGTGGTGGCCCCGGAGAGGCGAGGCCGCGCCCGTGGTCGGGGCTCCGGCTCGGGGCGCGGGCGCCCTCAGAAGGTGAAGGCGTACACCACTCCCACCACCACGATGTTGCCCAGCGTCGCTATGATCGCGATCCAGAGCAGGACGGCGTCGTTGGAGGACCGCGCGGGCTCCTCCGCCTGGCCCTGGCCGTTGGAGGCCGCGTGGATGTTGGTGGAGGAGTTGAAGAGGGAGTACTCGGTGCCGAAGTCCTCGTTGGGTGAGTCCATGAAGGCTCCTCCCATCATGGGCAGCTGCAAGGTAGGAGAGTGAGAGTCAGCCGGGGCTCGGGGCTCGGGGCTCGGGGCTCGGGGCTCGGGG